AGTGGACAAGGGGAGGCCAGTTTATTTGACCCATGTAGTCATGGCCTGGGTCATTCGATGAGTTGACTCACCATTCAGCAGTTGATTCAATGATTCAGCTCTACTTGGATTAATCAATAGGATTTATTTTCCAACTCTGATGCCTACTAGGTTTGCTTGATGGCTTTGGCGTATTGGACGGAGAGGCAATTCCTCTTAAGCAAAGCCTGGACTTTTTGTTAGGAAGGTATAAATAGATGAGTAATCTGTCCAAACCCCGTGGCTTCTGCCCTTAAAGCCTATGAGTAATGCCTCTTGAACGCACAACAACCCTGCAGCCTCATAGCACTACTTGACAGCTGTGTCACTTTCTACACACATACACACAAAAACATGCACGCACCCTCAAATGCCTCTTGGGTCACACCATAGGGCTGTTGTTGTTGTTGTTGTTGTGTGCCTTCAAGTTGTTTCTGACTTACAAGAACTCTAAGGCGAACCTATCATTGGGTTTTCTTGGGCAAATTTTGTTCAGAGCTTGCCAGATTGAGAACTGCAGAGGGTTGTTGTACCTTTAATGGTTGTCACACAACTGGGGACATGCAACACCTACAGAAATTGCCTCCATCCAAGAGCCCTCTCCAGTTTCCATCCAAGCAACCCTAACTCTCTGCGAACCTGCCTTACAACTCTATTCAGGCAGCAGGAGATGGGGAGAAATGGACCAAGAGCTGAAAACTTCTGGTTATTTGGAAATTTGGTGAGGGTCCTTAAGCCCCAAATAGGAAGTTTTGAGGGGCATGATGTACCCAGAATTCCTTGAAAAGTATCTACTGTACCCTCAAATCCACATGTTTGAAGCAGGATTTGAAAGGTTGCCAGTGAGTCCCTCGCCTTACAATGCAATTTATTTTGCAATAATAGTGATTTTGCAAAATGATTGATTTTGCAAATCAAACTGCTACGACTTAAGCTTGGCCCCTTCAAATGGGTGCTCCCTTAGTTGAACAGGGAGAATTATTTCATGCTGAACAGAAGGAGTCTGTGTCCTGAATCCACAGAATAAGGCTAAATTTGGAGACTTAAAACCATTCATTCCTTCCACTATAGGACAAAGTGGGACCCCGCAGTTCCCTTTATATATGGCAGAGCAGAAACACCTTCAGTAAATGGCCAAAAAAAGCAAGAAAGGGGCTTGAGGAACTGGGGCAGAACCCCATTGCTGCTCCAAGGAGCCACGGTTGTATAACAAGCTAACCCAAGAATTATCTGTGCATACCTCACCAAAAGGCAGCTTAAAAGCCCAAGGAGCTCAACATGGAGGTCATAGGCCAGGATTGCTGTTAAATTGCCAGCAGTCTTGCATGCAAAGAGCCTCTTCCAGGTAGCTCAGCCTTACCTGGGGCCAAAGAAGGTGTGTGGATGCCTTTAGTCCAGAAGAAAGACTAGAAGACGAACCTGTGGGTGCAATTATAGGTTGAGCATCCCTTATCCAAAATGCTGGGATCAGAAATATTCCATATTTAGGATTCTCCCTCCGCCTCCACGCTTGGAATACCTGTATTTGCATATACATAATACACAATACACAATACACAATACACAACACAAGTATTATTTCACCTTATTTTACAGTCGGCACTCGGTATCCATAGATTCTGCGCCCACAGCTTGAAAATGTTCCAAAAATTATATTCCAAAATGCAAGCCTTAATTTTGCCGTTTTATATAAGAGATGCCATTTTACTACCACATTGTGTATAACTTGAGTTATATACTTTAAGGTGGCATAATGGTTTGAGTGTTGGATTATGACTCTGGAGACCAGGTTTCGGATCCTGGCTTGGCCGTGTAAACCCACTAGGTGACCTTGGACAAGTCACACTCTCTCAACCTCAGGGAAGGCAATGGCAAACCTCCTCTGAACAAGTCTTGCCAAGAAAACCCCATGATAGGTTTGCGTTAGGGTTGCCATAAATTGGAAATGACTTGAAGGTATACAACAACAACAACATCCATGGAGTTTGGTACACCCTGGGGACCCTTGGAACTAAACCCTAGCAGATACCAAGAGACCTCTGTATTTTATTTTATTTTATTTTATTTTATTTTATTTTATTTATATCTTGCCTTTCTCCCAATATAGGGACTCAAGGTGGCTCACAACCAATTTAAAACCATACAAATTAAAAATAATAAAAACATTTTAAAAGTATAAATATAACCAAAAAAAAACAAACCACCATTAAACAATTTACAAAGTTAAAAATGTTCAATAATAAAATGTATTTTTAAAACCCTGTACAAACATTACTACATATGAGTTGCACAGCAATTAAAACCCCAAACCTTTTCAGTTTGAAAAAGCCTGATGGCACAAAAATGTTTTAATTTGCCTCTGAAATGAAAGCAGGGACGGAGCCATCCTGGCCTCTCTAGGGAGGGA